GCAGATAATGTAAGGGTATAAATTTTAGTAACAGATTTATATGTGATGTGATGATATATGAAGCAGAAGATTTATCTAGATTTCTTCACTGTACTTAAGCTGCTCTTCTGGTCAACATCCCAGATTCATCCTGAACTACATATTTCCCTTAATTCAGACAGCACAATATGTAGTATCTTGCTATGGTTGCTTGTCTTGTCTTTTTGTTTAAAGTGTGTATTCCCTGAAGCCATCGCAGGCTGGCAGCTTTTCCTAGTTCAGGTGCTGCTGGTGCTTAAGGGAAAAGCTTGATGCCTTGCTGCTTTCTCTGGGAACATCTACATGAGGTGATGTGGGCATCAGGATCTGCAACACAGGCACAGCAGTGAGAAGCCAGTGACACTGAGGTAGTCCCAGTGTTCCTGGAGCTGCCAAGCAGCGGTTTTCAAACCACAGCTTTGACACAACTGCCTGAAGGCTGACTGCAGATTTTTAGCTCTAGCAGTTGCCTTCATGGGCATATTAAATAACCAGCAGTGCTAGAACCTCCTGTTATTTTGTACATTTTTTGTAAGTTATCATACTAGTGTGTTACTGATGATTAGTCTTTTGTACGTTTATTTCTGTAACTGAAATTAATGTGTAGAGTCTGAGTTCACACTCTTGAAGCACTTTTTAATTTGCTTTAAAACAGAATGCTAAGAACAGAACTTTGTAAAAGTCTCATTGATGTCCTGTAAAAAATTGTGTGTTCTCATTGTGTTTCTGAGTGTGTGTGGGTGATCACAAGTATGCATGGTGAACACGGGAAAATACTGCTTTTTGTTATGCTCTTTTTTCATTTGTGCTGCAGCCACTTACAGTTCCTTAGGTTAGGTCAGCTAGAAGGCAGCACTTTGTCTTCTGACAAAAACACAAGGAAGAGTAATATTTTTATAATGTTAAATCAAGAGATTTTAAGAGTCATTGAACAGAGGGATTGAAAACGCGGTCTTTAGTGCCCTCTGCTGGATTTTTCAGTAACTGAAACATGATATCATACTACATTAAAACATGATTTAAAATGTAGCTGTGCATAAAGGTGACCCAAATCTTAGCATTTTTAGAAGATCTGTGCAAACAGAGCATTTGTACACAGGGGCACCATTTTTTCTCTTGTTAATCTTTAGTGTTTATGTGCAAATATTTCAGATCTATATACAACAGGAATGCAAGTGTAAAATAGTTAAGAAGTCATAGCATCCTGCTTATCAAAAATGGCATTTTTGGGCCATAGTTTTAAGATGTGCTTAGTGGAGGTGATTACAGCAGTATAAGTGTACATCTTGGGCCAGCTCAAAAAAACCCCACCGTAAATGATAACTTCTGTGTGGTTTTACATGCCACCTTCTGATCGGTAAATACTGTGGGTTATATCTGCATGTCTGTTGTCTGTCCTACCAATCATATAAACATTTCATGGTGTGTCAGATGGTTACTCACACAAGTGTCCTTTAAGGCTTCTGGTTTTTTTGTAGCCCATAAATACATGAGTAAGGCTTTGCAAAATTGCCTACCGGTATGTTTTCAAGTGTTTGTTGTATCAATGTGAAATACTGCATTTTCAAATGAAAACATACATATATGACATGATGAAATTCTCTTGAAATGAAAAGCGGGAATAGATATTTGTTGCATTTACTTTATGTGCTGTTATTAAGTCTCTAACCTAACACTTAAGTGTTTGGCTACATTAAGGAATATTTAAGAGACTTAAATTTTTCCTGCATCTGATGAAAATGTGCTTATGGAGCGATCTTGAAAATTATCCATCTGTATTTTAGCATTTGCTACTGGAAAAATAACAGATTTTGATGGAAAAAAATTCCTTTAATTTCCCCTACAGCTCATTCACTAAGCCCAGTAGCAGAGAAGCAGCTATTTACACAGCTCTGTTTAAATGTAAGTGTAGTTGGAGGCCTGGAAGTCTGATAGCGCTGTGTCTCTGAGTATAGCCTGAATTAATGACCTGAAAGCTTAGAGAGTGAAGCACATCTCTGATGGCCTCTTCTTCTCCAACATCAGCAAATAGCATTCATACAACCTTGTGTGCTTGTTCCTGAAATTTGCTGCCATTGTCTTCAGTTCCATTCCTGTCATACAGAATATGTTAGAATTTTTCCAGTAACACAGAATGTATTTGTGGAAGATGAGCAGGTGTTTTTTAAACCCTATATGTGAAAAGGCTGATTGTACAATGATGCATAAAGTAAGAAATTTGTAAGTAATACTGATTTAGAAATAAGTCTCTCAGCTAAATTAGTTGCAAGTAATTTCATCTAGCCCTTAGTGCACAGAGAAGGGTAAAACATTATATTAATGTGCTTTTTAAGCTTCGTACAAGATCAACAAAAAATCAGATGTACAGTGTGTAATTGGAAATGAGCAGGAATGGGAGCACTGCTTTCTGTTGCCTTTCCTTTCCCCATTAAAAATCAGAGCTTTAAATCTTGCTATGGTGGAGTAGAACAGAATTTAGTTTTCATGATTCCACTTTTCAATAATATATTTTTATATAGAGGGAAATTTAATTACAGACCTCCCCGTTATTTAAATGTATTCCTTAATTTGGTTATGATAGTTATTCCTGAATGTTTTCACTTGTTTTTATGCATTCTAAGTGGTCAGCTGTGTAAAATACGTTAAATCATATGTGTAATCCAATAATGTGGCCAAAAGTATTAAGTTTCTCCAGTATTTTTCCTAATTCTATTGACCTACTTTCCTCATCTTACTCATCACTGAAAGGGTTTTTTAAGGAGGCTAGTAAGAAATAAAAATAAGACAAAAAATCCCTTTGCTACCTCCGCCAAGATTTTCATTAGCATAAAGCACTAAGTGTAAGACATCATCTTTGTATGAGGGAGAATAAAATAGTTGGATTCTTAGCTTTCCCTTTAACTATTGCTGCATCAGTACAATGCATCCAGATAAGGTCGTTATTCTTAAGTGTGAAAATCGGTGCAAGCAGTGATATTCATATCCAAATTGGATGAATATTTTACTGTGATTTCTGATAGTTATTATTTTCTAAGTATGAGTGTCGTCATAGAATAAATATATCCAAAGTACTTCACCCAACAATGTTTTTTTGTAAATAGCACTGATTATTTATTTCTTAAAAAGTCAAAACAATACCCTATTAAAAAAAAAAAAAAAAAAGATCCTTGAGTAAAACAGAATCTCTCGCTAGCAATGCATTGGTTAAATGGTGTCAGTCTCTGTGCTAAGAAAGTAAGTAGCTCAGAGCAAGTGGCTGAGTTATTATCAAGCTCTCAGTAGACAACACACCTACCCAAACCATTTATTAAACTGAAGAATCCCTGTATCTATTAATAATCTATTAATTGTTCATGCTTCTTTAATGTTATCCTTGGAAATGTAGATATAAAGCAAAATCTGAGAAGGTGGGCAAAGAGTCTGTAGGTGCCGTACAGCATGATGAAAAGCCTTAACTTTGTGCATGCCTTATTGTAACTTGCCCACTTGGTCTGCTTGAGGTCTTTGCTCTAGGTATTGAAAATAAATGAACGTGCTTGCCTTAACGAACTTAGAAGTTGAGTCTTTTGGGTAGCAGAACAGTTTGTCCAGATGCTTGGCAAGCTGTCAGTGGGTCTACAGAAGGGCCATGAAAATGATCAGAGGGCTGGAGCACCTCCCTATGAGGACAAGCTGAGAGAGCTGGGACTCTTCAGTCTGGGGAAGAGAAGACTGCAGGGGAACTTACAGCAGCTTTCCAGTACCTGAAGGGGTCTACAGGAAAGCTGGGGAGGAACTTTTTATAAGGATGTGTAGGATTAGGGAAAATGGCTTTAAACTGAAAGATGGTAGATTTAGACTAGATATCAGGAAGAAATGCTTTAGTGTAAGAGTGGTGAGACACTGAACAGGTTGCCTAGAGAGGTTGTGGATGCCCCCTCCCTGGAAGCATTCAGGACAAGGCTGGATGGGGCTTTGAGCAACCGGGTCTAGTGGGAGGTGTCCCTGCCTATAGCAGGGGGTTGGAAGTGGGTGATCTTAAAGGTCTCCTTCCAACCTATATTCTATATAATTCTATATGATTCATTTCTGAGATTCACTCTCCTTGTGATGTGGGATAGCTGAAGGAGAAGCGCTACTCCTTTGAACATCCTGCTTCATCTTAAAAATGTGTCTGCTCGTTGATACTTCTGTGGCTAAGTTGAAAGGAATCTCTGTAATAAGAGACAGCAAGCCTCAGAGATCTCTGTAATTAACACCAGCCAGGGAATACTACATTTTTTTAATATTCTGATTTGATTTTGGAATTTGTTTTCAGATTCTTCTAGTGCCTGTGTGATTATAATACGATTGTTGGAATCTTTAAGATATGTATGCTAGCAATTTAGATTTTGAAAACAGAAGTAATGCTGCAAATGACAATTGAGTTTCTCTCTCTCTTACTTTATTTTGACTTTGATCATACTTGCTGGTATATATATATATATATGGTTAAAAGTCAATGCAGATTTGCTCAGACAATTATGTTTAGCTTTTATCTTGCACAGAGTAGATGCTTCTAGGTAAAGCTGTGTATTTTGTGCCATCTCTGTATATTTTAATCAGCTTGTGGTCAAGTGATATGCTCACCAGCTTAAAGGAAGCCTAACATTGATATATATGTATTAATTTTTTCCTTTACCAAATGTGGTGTGTATTTGATGTGAGCTATGGTAGTACTGTGAACATGCCAAGAATATTAGGTTTAGTTATAAATTGAAAGAAAGAAAGTCACAGTAGTAGTGTTTCCTCCTATTCTTGCTATATAAACTTTTTTCTCATCTATGCAGGAGGTTGCATCAACAATTTGAAAGCTATAAAGAGCAAGTAAGAAAGATAGGGGAAGAAGCCCGCCGTTACCAGGGAGAGCACAAGGATGATGCTCCAACATGTGGAATCTGTCATAAAACAAAGTTTGCAGATGGTTGTGGCCATTTATGCTCTTATTGCCGGACCAAGTTTTGTGCTCGATGTGGAGGTCGTGTCTCTCTGCGATCAAACAATGTAAGTCTTCTGATGTGTATTCTTAAGAAAAAGCCTTAACATTTTCACGCTGCAGGTTGTTCACCTTAAGTTTGGCTTTTCATGCTTCATTTTACTTAAGTGTTTTATTCATCACTTCACTATGAGGTATATGTGGAGTAGAATAATGTATCTAATGTTTTTGTAGATACTCAGGTTTCGCAGAGTTAACTGAACAGATGAGAGTACATAGTGTATACTTCTACTGAATGGTGGCTCGAAGGAAACTTGTTTTGGAGAGAATGAAAGAAAAAAACCTTTTGTTGAGGCCGATCTCTGCATTAAGATTTTTTTTTTATTGAACTCACTTCAGTTCAAATTTCTTCTTTATGGAGCTTTTTGTATACATATAGGTTTCTCTTATATAAAAACAGTACACTTTTTGGTTAGGAAGAAGTCTTCCTTACCACAAAGAAAGTTTTGTAAATTTATTTAAAATTTATTTCAAAAATAAAACTATAGATTGATCTGGATCAGATACCCTACTTTCAGACAGGTGAGATAAATCTTTGCCTCCCCACGAAATGCAAGTGTTTGCCCACATGCCCTGTTAGGGCAGTTCTTATGAAGAACTGGTCAGTTACTGGAAGGATCTGTATTTGGAAGTGCACTGCCCAGAGACTGCTTTTGGCTGATCATCCAGTGTGTTTCAGAACATTTCACAAATACTCTTTTTACTGCACAACATGATTTTGTTGACTATCATGAGATGATGATTTTCAAATACGGCCTTAAGATGCTGATATTTTGTATGTGAAATTTTACTCCTTCCCATCAATGAAAATTCAGTTAAAAGTGGCCATCAGTTCTATTTCAGATAAACACGTTCACAGTAGAATTAGTTTGTGGCCTTTTCATCTTCTTTGTTCTAAAACTCAACAGAAAAGGGTTTCTGAAATTTGATATAAAACAAACAAACAAAAACCCTTAGAAAAATACCCATTTCTCATTATTTTGGAAATTCTCCATAGCCCTCATATACCTGTGAGTACAATACATTGAATTCTTTTTCTGAAAAAATGATGTAGGTGTCTTGGGCAGAAATTTTCATACGTTCGTTTTTTAAGGTAAATGGATGCATTATGTTGTGTCACCTGCAGGTGGTATCACTAGAGCAAGTCTGTGAAAATACAGTTCACTTGGATGTGTTTGGCTGTACTATTAATGGAAGTGCATATAATGCAGCTTGTATTTACTCAGAAAGAAACTGAATATACATTATTTGTTTTTCACCTACTGTTCTGAGTCACAGAAATGGAAATGGAAAGTTTCCATTTGTTTGTAACTTATTTTTCATTTGTTCATGGTTCTGTGGGTTAGGGTGGGAAAACATTTTCTACACATGCAGTAGTGTGACATTTTTATTTAAAGCTTTTTTTTTTTTTTTGCTTGTTTTACATTCTTAGCTCTTTGTAAAGAGTTACTAGAATTGCATTTATTTGAAATCTGCTTGTTAATACTTGCCTATTTTATTCTTTTTCTCTTCTTTCTTTCTTTTTTTTTTTTCTGCTTCCTTGGATGCTTTCCCAAAGGAGGACAAAGTGGTTAGAATCCATGCTTTTTATCATTTATTATTATAATGTTGTTAGTTAACTGGGAAACATATTATGTAAAAAATGATCAGAAGGGGAGGGAGGAAGCACAGAAAACCTAACAACCAGGCCTCTCCTATCCCTTAGGTGAACAAACCCTTCAAAGTTAGCTCAGCAAAAAACCCAAGGGTGTTGATTTATATTGGGATGATGTAAGAAATTAATTAGAAGTTGAGGATTCTTAATAGCCTGAAAAATAGAGGAGGTAATAAAATACATTAACTTTAAATTTCATAAAAATGACTTTTGCTAATAATATGACTTTTTGCTTGCAAAGTCCTTCCATCAGCTTCAGGAAATCTAAAGTAATTGAAATGTAACTTTACACTGATTTATGTAGTTTATTGTGTTTCACTTCTGGCTGCAGCAAAAATTCAGGAAAGTCATCTTTCTGATTTTTATAAAGTAGTTTGCCTTGGCAAAGGATAACTTATCCTTTAGAATTTGTACATAGATATAATAAGCAACATGGAGTGAATCTTTTGAGACTGTGCAGCTACTATTTTGGGAAACTGTAAAGCTTCCTTGGGATCAAATAGTGATGTATGCTGTTGGCCCTGCAATGTAGGGTTTTTTTTTTGGTTTTTTTTTTGTTTTTGTTTTATTTTTCACAAGCAGTTGTATTCTTCGAGCATGATTTTTGTTTTGGTTACTATGAAATATAACTTGATAAACCTTCATTGTACTTTTTAATGTGTGATTCTCTGAACGAAGTGCTGAAATAATACAGGACTTTTCCAGTCTCTTTATCTAAGGATTAGATTAGGATAGCGTGAGAAGTGCCATCTTGTTATTGATGAAGCAGTGCATCATTGATGAATCCACTGGGGTGCACTGGAAGAATAGTGCGCTTGCGACAAGAAACAGCAAAGTTCTTAAATGCTGAAAGTGCCTCTTCAGTAAAGTGTAACCACATAGATTTTGGAGAACAATCCAGCTGAACTCCACCTGACCTGCTTATGTGATTGAGAAATCCTTCACGCCTCAGTTTTGAACAAAACTTTGCTGCATAGTTAGAGCTGTGGTAGTGTGCACATGCATTAGAGATTGTATCTTTGATGATAATGTCGTTTAGATTCCAGAAAACAGACTTCACTACGCTGAAGTGCTCTGAAGAAATATGTACTGAAGACATACTTGACTTTAGATTGTCCAAAATTCAATTAAAGATATCCTTGCCTTGATTTAGGTTTTGCTGTGTTGAACTTCAAGATTCCCCATGCTGAGAAAATGCCACAGCGACATAGAAGGCTATGTCCTTTTGTCCTCATGGTGAAGATGAACCACAACCCTTTAAAAGCTGAAAAGTCCTGGTAGTCAGAGGGAGAATATCTAATAATTAGTCCTGATTGTGTGAGGAACAGAGACACCTTTTTTTACAAAGTACAATTGCTTAAGCCATGTCTGTCTGTGAAAGCTAACAGACCATGTGATATGAATTAATTAAAAAACATGATTACATACCTGAAATAATGTCTCTTATAAGCAAGGCAATTTGTATAATTTATACAGGGCCACACCAGAAAAATATCTTTTTTCTTAATTTCGTTTCATTGGCTTGACATACCTGACCAGCATACATGCAGAGACAACCTCCTTTTTAATCTAATGAGTCTAATGATAGTAAAGACTTTTTCAATATGTTTAGACGTTTAGATGTTCCTACAAGTTTTGAGTTCATCACTTGGAAAGGACAGTGAAATCGGGAAAAATCAAGCATGGTCCTAGATTCCAGGTATTTCCCTTAGTGCTGAAGTTTTAAACCACATTGGTAGTTTTAATGAGATCTCACCTGATGTTGTGTACCATGTGTTACCTGTCTGATAAATTCAAGATGTGGCAGGTACAAAGGATGATAAAAGAATTGTAGAATTCATCATATGGAAGAGGACTACAGAGAGATCAGAGGGACAAAAAGTAGAGAAACTGTAGTTAATACTTAGAAATACAATGTTTTAAAGATAAGAACAACAATTAATCTAAAGAACAGTGAATACATAAGAGCAAGTAGATGCAAGTTGTCCGTAAGTGCTTTTGGAAAGAGATTTTCACCATCACTAAAGATTTCAGAAAGTAATTTATTGGAAGGAAAACCAGCCAATAAAATTGTAAAGGTTGGATTTGGTAAGTTTAAGAAAGAATTTGTGATTTGATTGCTTCTGTCTGTAAGATAAGTAAGAGCTCCCATGCAGCTGTCATCTTTTGCTAAGATTGTTTTAAAGTTGTTTAGAGGTGACAAAATGCTTCATGGGAAACTACAAAGGTGGCTTCCCTTTGAAGCCATTCTTTACCTTTTCAAGAAAATGCCAAATGTATACCGAAGGCTGTTTTACAAATGTATTGCGAAACTTAATATATATTCTCCCTCTTTAAAACAGTAAAGTACATCCCAAAACATTAATCTTTTGTAATGGGAGTTGGTCAGTAACCTAGGCTTAAGGGAATTCGGTGATTCGTGCATTTACAAAATTACTTGGCAATAATTGGTACAACCTAGTAGCTAATGAGGCACGTACCTTTCAGTGATTCTTACTATAGTATGTTGAAACGCGTTATTAAGTATGTATCATTAGCTCTTCCATGTCCTTTGAGTATGGCTAGCTCTTCATACTACTGACCTGTGCCTGCTTATCTCTCCATGTGATTTTGGGCAGATGGTATTAAATGGACACGTTGTCAGATAGGGGGACTGCTATCTAGTTTAAACCTGGCTTAGGTACAGCTGTGTGGTGAGAATATTCGTGGTGTTAATGACGCTAATAATAATATCAGTGGTGGCTGAGTTCACTCAAAACACTTGGTGATTATGTGGCACGCTGGAGAAATACAAGTGTTTTCCTCTATTATTGATGTTGTGCTATGGCAGCCTATTTCACCGCATGTGCACTGAAAATTTGTGTATGCTTTTTAAGAAAGCAGACTATTAGTAAGAGGATTTTACGAGTAAGCCTTTTTGAAGGAAGTGATGTATGTAGGTGCTCAGTGAAAATCAGGCTGGACTGAGCTTTTCTAATTTGTTGGATCACATTCTAGGTTTTGTTAGTTCCTTATTGGATCAATGGTTTAGCTCTGGATACTTCTGTTTCTGCTATATTTGCTATTTGGCAATTTAATTGCCAAAATAGTGGTGGGTTTGTTAATGCTATTATTTCCTTTTTATTTACTGTTCTCTCTGATGTGATCTACCAATATAAGTAGTCCTAGGACAGTGGAGAAGCAATAGAATACCTGGCCAGCATTTCTTTGCCTATTTTGCTCCACCCCCTCAACATCCTGGCTGCTGCTGCTTGTTCCTTTCTTTACTGCAATTGTAGCAGAGCACCTCATTGCAAAAGCCACCTGATAATGTGACCTTCTTTGCACTGCTCTCCTAAAAGCTTTTACCTGATA